CCCCCCCCCCAAAAAAAATGCTTAAAAAAATTTTGCCGTTTATTATCGGTTCATACTACTAGATCACAAATGGGTAACAGAAAAAGATCAGGGAAACGTAGCTTTTTTTTCTTTTTTTTTAGCATCCGAGGAAAGGAATGAATGGAGAACCATGATCGCCGATAATGTCTGTCGCAGATTGGGTACTGAATGATGATGATGACCAGACCACCATTATGGGTGGTTGGCGGGTGCTCTGGTGTGGTTTGCTTCTTCTTTCGTATCAAACATCTATCGTCTTTATCTCCCCTCCTTCTTTTTGTGTTTGTTACTCTCTTTGTGGTGTTGTCGATGGCGTTTCGATACGTTGCCTTCTGTCAAATGAACTGACGTGACCCCTGGTTGGATTTGGTCACTTTTAAGCACAAGAGGGCTATCGGGGCTGTTTTGAGAATATCGAAAGTGGTAAAGTTTTACCCCTTGTTCATTCTCTAAAGACAAGGAGAATTTTCTCTATACATGTAAATCAAACAAATACGCAAACCAATGAAACCAAACTTCTCCTATAGGTAGGGCAATGCCCACTGTCGATGTAGGTCAAGATTTCTGGAGACCCCCGAAATCTGGGTTAGCGCGCTTGTCCTTAAAAGCGACCAATTGTGACACGCCATTGCTATATATGTAGTTGGTAGCGAAGATCCGGTGGTCAACCTTGAAGACCAATCACAGTAGCATGTCATTTCACTTATTATCCTTTCGTGAATCTCTAGATCTACGTTTATTCAGTCGCTTCTCCCCTTTACCGGTCCACATATAGCTTTCAATCTCTGACCGAACCACCCCCCCCACACACACACATTTGTCGTTATGCGACATTACGTTATGACCACACCAAGTAAAATCCAGGCTGTCTCGCAAATTCGGGAGTAGAGACAACAGTTCATTACTGCTGCAATGGCCTGCAATCTTGAAGAGTTCGCAGTTTGATGTCATCTCGCCTGGAGCGAACATATTATATATAGGCCGTACCCAGTCCACCCAGCGAGTGATGTACAAGTAAGTAAAGTAGGTGAAGAGCTCATAGTTCATAGGACCTAGATCTATTATTAGTATTATGCGACTGCGACGTTTGGGGCAAACAAACGCGTTAGTCAGTATATAGTTCTAGTGGTCACACGTCGGTGTGATACATTATGCCGTCTGGGATAAACATTGTCGATCTACCGTTTCATCTCGAGTTATACAAAGCTTATGTGATCACATGCACGAGAGTAGCTGATCTTTGACGCAACGGGACTCTTGGTTGATCCATGATCGGCTCTGCTCGCCCGTGTTTTTGTTCCGTAAATTAGGATCTGAAATTATGCGGGATCTTAGGCGAATGTAAAGACATTCAGCGTGAAACAGAGCAGGATCTTGGGGTGACTCTGGTAATAAACATTATGTTTTCAACAGCGGTATCTCGCGAACTGGGGGATCTTAGGCGGAGACTACTGTATTATTATTATAGTTATTGTTGTTATTATTATTATTATTATTATTATTATTATTATTATTATTATTATTATTATATGGCCTCTATCTATAAGTTATTATTGACTAGTTTTCTGATGGATCAACTTTTGGTCTGAAGTAAACACTTTCAACCAGGTGGAGAATACTTACTTCTTTTTTTCTTCTAAGAAATTGAAGAAAAAAAAATGAAAAAAAAGATGAATTAAAAAAAAAGCAGAAACAACGAACAGAAGACCGAATGAAATGAACGAATGTTTTGTTTTGTTTTTCTATTCGCTCCCGTCTGCTCCCGTGCACGATCTAATTACTTCCGGGAACGTCACAAGGGAATGAACTCTTATAATTCTCCTCCATATTGAATGCAAAACAAATGCGCGAAAGGTCTAAGTTGACTTCCTGCTAGCAGACAATTTTCACTGATGAATAGAAGAGGAAGGGAAAAGACAGCTTTCCTCACTCACAATGAAACCAGATGAGATGATAACAGTTCCAGACTTTATTCGAGAAACATGGGAGGATTTCAATTCCCCCACGACGTCCACCTTCACTACCAAAATGAGCGTATGTCGTCAGACAGTTTACAGCTTGGAAGAAGTAAGAAATAATTTTTCATTGCTCATTGACTCATTGACTGCCATTGTGATTTGTGTTGACAGTGACACAGTGTTATTGTTGCACCCCTAGTTTACCCACTCCCTGCATAGATCTAGATCTAGATCTAGATTTAGCAGAGCACTTGTTTCTTACAGACTTGAAATTATTAACACTTTTTGTAACAGATTATATTGAGATTGAGTGAATAATAATCAGAATAGTCTGCCTCTAGATTAGATTCTAGATCTAGATCTAGATCTAGAATCTAGATATCTAGATCTAGATTCTAGATGATATTAGAAGAATAAAAGACATCAATTTTCTATTCGACAAACCTTTCCAGCTTTTTATAAAAATGTAGGAAAGCATTAGCCTATAGATCTAGAAATCTAGATCTAGATCTAGAATCTAGATCTAGATCTAGAATCTAGATCTTCTAGATCTAGATCTAAAAGGTTTTGTAAAACAGAAATATAAAGCAAGGAAATCAAGTGTTTTCAGTTTGATGATACTGAAAGTTGGTGGATTTTGGGGATGGGAATGTGATAGAGAAAACATGAAAATCTAGATTCTAGCAAGTCAATTGAAAAGTCATTCCGACACAGCAGTTTGAAAATGTTCGGTTTGGATACAAGATACTACACTTTCCATAAAATCAATAACAATAGATGGTTGAACAGACTAAAATCTACAGCTCTTTGTCATCACAAAAAGTGGGAAGAATTTTTTAATAAAATTGAAAGTGAAAGAAAAGTTTCCTCCCTATTTTCAATAATTTTCTGGGATGTGCGACAGAGGAGAATGATGAAAATTGGATGATTGGCAAATATTTATTGTCATTCTGAAAAATGCCGAAAACAAATTTTGAAGCAACACCAACCCTAACAAGATGCTCGATGTCGTTTCGGTTTACTCTCGTCTGCCACGATATAGACTCATCACACAGTGTGTCGTTTTCTTCACCCAGTTACATCTGTGAGGCGTCGTGGTGAAATCAGGCGCTCGTCAAAGTTATAATGAAATTGAAGAAAACGAGGTGTTGTCTAATTTTTGTCTAATTTCTGTTTTTTGGCTCAACACCGGCTTTTATGTCCATAAAATCTGTGTAGATTTTACTGAAAATCTTTGATTAAAGGCACAACAAATGTAAATTTTCATTTTCCAAGGACACCAAACTTTGGCAGCCATTTTCTCGCTAATTTTACCTCTGAAACCAGGTGACCCCGACCTCCTTCAATCGCAAATATCTCGACTTCTATTGAAGATAGGCGTGTATTTATTTTATCTCACGATGGTCATATCATGAACAAGCTTTAAGATGAATAATTCCAGATGTCTAAAAATTGACGAGCGCCTGATTCTACTGCGTTGTAACACATAAACACATTTCTGTCCAGTCCCCCCAAATCAATGTTTAAAATGATACTTGGTCAAATTGAAGACTTCCTACTTTCTTTATTGTAATAAGGAAAAAAAATTAGTCAGATCGCCGAATCCAGTCCAAACCTCACCTTTTTCTGTAGCATAACGACAATTAACGTAGCCCCAAATTTTTAACATCTCTGTAGAAGTGGTGACTTTATCTTATAAATAATGTAGGCCTGAATAATTTAGACAGATCATCAGTTCTGTGCCAGTGATATAGTCTCATATAAATTTTCCTCTAAATTTCATGATTTCTTATATCTTGTTTATGGTTTTGTACTGCACTTTGCTTAGAGGGAAAAACAAATTGTGCTGGCAGTTGAGTTAAATGCACCTTGTCTAACTGCAGTAGGCTTTGTCTTGGTAATTTGTGTCCGAATTGTAATTAGCATTATTTTTATTTGTCAAGCGTGCTTATAAATTGAGTTACTTCTTGAATGTTAGCTCTATGGAAGTAAGTATCATAGTATGTAGAATGTGTAGAGGTGGAGTTTGTACTGATTATTATCAAATTAAATAATAGCTGGGCCCCCTTTTGATGAAAGGAATGATCGGTGCTTTAATATCAACTAAAAGTCATTGGCCTACTATATTTACACTCTAATGGAATGGAGCAATAAATCTTGAGAGATGCAAAAAGTTATAAGGTCTAGATCTATACTCTCAAAAACAAAACCCACGTCGCGAAATATCACTTCCGGATATTCTAAAATTACAGAGACAGAGGTGTCGACCTACAAAAGCGATCAGCGAAAAAAAGAAATTTTGCTTTTTGCAGCAAAACTGTCTCAAAACTGAAAAAACCAAGAGTGCCATGCTCTGGAGAATATTTTAAAGAATTTTTGGGCGAAAACCGCATGTCGATCGATGCAGCCATTAAAAAGCCTTTTGAATAGCAAAATTCGGCCACCACAAATAGATGATAGATAAAAGATACTTTGAAAAAATGGCATCAGATCAATTAAAATTCTACAAATTTATTGATTTTTTTATCTGATATCTCCATTCTTGCAGATTGTGAGAAGTATCTGGTTTTGTCAACTGGCCTCACATTTGATCACTGGCTAGCTTTAACTTCTTGTAACCTAACAAAGTGAAGTAAAAACTTTTTTTTAAAGGAAAGTTGTGAAAGCTGGATGGTCCCAGGTGTGCTTCAATAGGGTTTTTTTTTGGCGGGGGGGAAGAAGGGTAGAATGTAGAATTATTCCATTGCCTCGGCATTTTTTTTGTTAAGAAGAAAAGAATACTCTTGAACATTCTTTCAGTTATATTCTTCAGAGCGGAACGATTTAGGCTACTTGTGGGTGGTTGGCGGGTGCTCTGGTGTGGTTTGCTCCTTCTTTCGCCATCAAACATCTATCGTCCAATCTCTCCTCCTTCTTTTCCTTGTATGTCACTCTCTAGGAACACCTCTTATCTTCGACACATATATATATATATATATATATATATATTTATGATCTACTGGTGTTACAAATGCCGTAAAATTCATACAAAACTTGAAAAGACTGCACCTGTAGCGATTAATTAAAATTTTCATTAAATATAATTGTATAGTGTTGTTATCTTCTCTGACTTCCGTTGTAAAATAATTGTAATTAGGTTGTAAGGTATTGATCTGTCTGTGTAGAGTGAATGGGACTAACTGTATAATTTCTAAACCTCATTATTCAAATTATTTTTCTGCCCGCAATTTTAATGATTTCAGTCTTTGATGTGATGAGTCTCTTCTGACTTTTCAAAGATTTTTTTTTTTAGTACAACAATGATTTGGCTGCAATTTGAATTTTGTGAATTCCCCAAATGTAGAGCCTGTGAGTTATAAATACTGTTCCTGCCATGTTCATTTTGAGTGGTCTGATCAATATATCGTTTGTAGAATCACTCTAATATGTGAGGTTCTCTTGAGAAGTAAACTGCTCTCTTTGTAATATTTTGCAATTCATGAAAATTCCCTAAATTATCTGTCTTGTCGCATTAGTGTGCTACATTCATTTTGTCAGATCTGCATTCTTGATAGAATGGAAAGGTGAAATGAATACTGACTATCAAACCCGTCCTTCACCATGTCAGCTCTGTATTAATCCTCCTTGTTGGGTCCTGGGGCTGTTTTAGGGTTAACTATTAACAGTGAAAGGGTGGGGTTTTGAAAACCCCTTCATGACTTCTAAGATGAGAGCCATTCATCATTTTTTTTTCTTATGCCGAGAAGAGGCAAGATGCTGCTGTGACCTATGGCGATCGTCATGCTTTGTGAAGCCTTAGGGCCATAATGATGAGTGTAGTTTGCCATTAGATTTTATATTCTCGGTTTTGTTTCTAGTAGACTCGCTTTGTTAGACCGATCGCAGTGTCTTTAGGCCTTTCACAAAGGGGGGACAGTAACATGTTCTTTTATGCACAGCAGAATTGTAAAAATGGGATGATTCATCAATGTCATGGTCATAACTGTGCCTGAACTACAACAGGGAACTGCTGCTTTTTCTTTCCTAATCTGTACTATCGTTATTTTCCTCTACTTCTTTTGTGTGTTTGTCACACTCTTGTGACCCGCTATTTCCGGGGTGCCTGATAGTCTAAGCAGACCTTGTGCTGTTGAAGCTAGAGAAGTGAGCAGAGTAAGTCTGATTCCCTACGTAAGGATATTTCTGTAGACATCCACCCCTTGGCGCTAATATGACCTTTTATGCAGTTGCGAGCGCTGTAAAATCTCTACTAAAACTTGACTAACTATTGCTTTGTGTAAGACTGATTGCAGATTCAAATTTACTTCTCGTCAACACTGAATGACCATTATTATGTCGATGATCTTCTCAGTACTCATTTAAACAATTGTCTATTTAGATGGGAAAAGTTTGAGAAAAAGAAGTAAAGTTCATTTCCCCGTTTCGGTGTTTTTTTTCTCTATATGAAGAAATCTTTTGCTCTTTTAAAGACAGTTTGTTGTGTTGCACATCGGATCTAATTATAGGCAATCAACTTTTCAGTTCAAAGAGGCCGTTCCCAAAGGGGGGGGGGGGGGGATGTTAACATGTTCTAATGCACAGTAGTATTGTAAATGGGCTGTTTTATCAATGTCATGCTCATACTGTGCCGGAACAACATAGGTGGAACTGCTGCTTTTTCTTTCTTCATTCTTACTATCGTCATTTTTTGCTCTACTTCTTTTGTATGTTTGTCACACTCTTGTGACCCGCTATTTCCGGGGTGCCTTTTTAGTCGGAAGCAGACCTTGTGCAGTTGAGGCTAGAAGGTGAGCAGAGCAAGCCTGAATCCCCGTTTGGACTTCTCTGTTGACATAATATAACCTTATGCAGTGCGAACGCCATAAAACCTCTACTAAAGCAAAAAAACAGTGCAAAGAAATCTTCTACTTTTAGAGACAGTTTGTTGTATTTACAAACCAGATCTATTTATAGGCAAGCGACTGGTAAACACAGCTCTACTCTTCGTCCCAGGCTATCCAAAATTGCTCGGTGACGCACAAATTAACCCTGAGTCACAAAGGGTTAAATGGGTTAATTGACATATTTTGGCTCCCATATACTTCTCCTGCTGTTTGTCTCTTAAATTGGGTGGGTGGTTGGAGGGCGCCACTGGTAGGTGCTAGGTCCTACTTCTTTTACTTTCCCACTTCTGTCTGTGTGGGTGGTTGGAGGGTGTCACTGGTAGGTCCTACTTCTTTACTTTCCCCTCTGTTGTTTCTGTCTGTGTGGGTGGTTGGAGGGTGTCACTGGTAGGTCCTATTTCTTTACTTTCCCCTCTGTTGTTTCTGTCTGTGTGGGTGGTTGGAGGGTGTCACTGGTAGGTCCTACTTCTTTACTTTCCCTCTGTTGTTTCTGTCTGTGTGGGTGGTTGGAGGGTGTCACTGTAGTGGTAGGTTCTACTTCTTTACTTCCCACTTTTGTTTCTGTCTGTGTGGTGGTTGGAGGGTGTCACTGGTAGGTCCTACTTCTTTACTTTCCCTCTTTTGTTTCCGTCTGTCGGTCTTACTTCTTCCCAGCACTAAATAACCAGTTTTGTTGGTGTGCACCTCATTACTCAAACAAACAAATCATTGTCAGTTCTGTATTTTGACCTTCTGTTTTTTTTCTTTCCTTATTCCTGTCTGTCTGTCTGTCTGTCTGTCTGTCTGTCTGTCTGTCTGTCTGTCTGTCTG